GAGAAACATATGTACTCAGAAAACTCATTTAGCTATGAGTTCAACACTCACTGTGCAGCTGGAGCCCATTCACGGTACACAATGCCACCTTCTTCTCGGTTAAACCCGAATTTCAAATAACCTGAACATAATGGTAGCATTGAACATAAAGACACCTTCAATAGCAGCAATTCAAGTAATCAATCCTATGATGTCCAAGTTTTCCTATTTGTTGTACCAGTAGCAATTGCAACAAAGTGAATGAGAGCAAAATAAAACACTTTCATATGTTAAGTACATATTTAAGTACATATTTGGTAATTCGGATACCACGGTAAGAAAATACCTCGTTTAAGTGTCCTGTCAAGTTACCTTGTGCAAATTCCTCGAGGCTTGCCTCATGTTTTTCAATGAGGTTTTTCTGATCTACATATCTCTTTATTCTGTATTCAAAATGGTCCTTATAAGCTTCCAGGCCTGGATCCAAACTACAAAGGCCAATGTTTTCGGTGCCTTCCTCCATATTTGCTTCAGTAGATTGATCATCTGTCAGAACTCCAGGGACAGATGAACTGCACACCTAAATGGAAAGTTCATAAACGAAATCCTTTATTGCCAAAATAAGTAGTAATCCTAATATGAAACAAGTGAAATGAAGAAGGGCGCCCAAGCTTAAATCCGTGAAACTTATGTTTTTTTCTAATGAATAATGTGTAAAATGCTGCTGAAAAATTCGCTTTCACTTTTCGAAGATTAGTAAAGGAAAGTATTAATGAAATATTAAGACCAAGAAAAAGGTATGATCACCTCAAACTAAGAAAATCATAAATTCATTGGTCGAAGGTAAACGCATAGCTCATGTAGCATGCCTTGCCACAGCACATGCAATCAGTAGGAAACCCACCACCATGTAATTTTATGTTTATAACTTCAAAGTCAACTAAAAAAATATACAAGAAAGAGACCAAATACCTTTGCATACCTTTCCATGTACTCGGATACTCAACGGGGAGACAGCTCTGTTTAATGCAAACAATTTTGGACAGCTAATGATAACTTCATTTAACGGACTTTTGGTACACCTACTGCAGACAGGGACCTGTCAAACAAATCCAAGATTAAGTCTCAAAGGTAGCTACTATCCATTATACGCTAAAAATGTAAACTAACAACTACTTAGCCATATCACAGGTAGAAACTAAAAAAGGAAAACAAAGGGGTTTTCTTTTGTTCCACTGGCAGTTTTATTACCTGATTTTGTCATGTAACATCTTTTTCACATTAGACCTCTTTACTTCAATAGATATAATCTAGATGGAGGCTTTCCTCACAACACAAATTAGACTGACATGTCATCAACAAGAAAAATAAAATAAAAATGTAAAAAATTGTGAAGGTAAAGCCACAAAGGTGCAAATAAAATCTTCTTCCTACACTCCGAAGGAAAAAAATGATCAGAATTTCACAACTTTCAATCTGATTTACAAGAAGCATATCTGTTGTTGTTAATATCACCAATACTCGGAGAACAAATTGAACCGCCATTATCAGAATCAAAAAATCAGTTTTCCCTAAATTGATCGACAATGTCTGTCTCAAGTACTAATAAACCACATTTTCAACATTAATTTCAACTAACATAAGCACAATTGGTGAGCCATAGATCTGAAATATAAGAAGAAAAGGAAAAAAAAAAAAAC